TCTCTGTGTTGGTGAGGAGTGGGGTAGCTGCACAGTCATTGAATTTCTGCAAGTTCGCTCTGCCCAGCTGTTTGCACTTGTTTACTCTTATTTCTAAGATGGTGGGAGAATGTGATGGTGAAATGTACATGGGGGCACCTGGGTGGCACAGTTGGTTGAGTGTCCGTCCGACTTCGGCTCAGATCACAATCTCTCTGTTCGTGAGTTCAAGGCCTGCATTGGGCTTGCTGCTGTTCGTGCGGAGGACGCTTTGGATCTTCTGTCGCCTTCTCTCTCAAAAATAAACATTGAAAAAAAAGAGAAAGAGGGGGGCGCCCCGGTGGCTCAGTCGATTAAACGTCCGACTTGAGCTCAGGTCATGATCCCACGGGGTCTGTGAGTCTGAACCCCACATAGGGCTCTGTGTTGACAGCTCAGAGCCAGGAGCCTGCTTCCGATTCTGTGTCCCTCACGCTCTGCCCCTCCCCTGCTCGTGCTTTCTGTCTCTCAAAAATGAATAAATGTTAAAAAAAAAAAAGAAAAGAGAGAGAGAGAACTGTACACGAAGTCACATTATTCCTTGATATGTTAGTTTTCCACTGGAAAGCGGTCTATAGTGGTTAACTTATTGGTTGGATGGGTCAGTCATTTACTTGCTCTCTGAGCCGTGGTTTCTTCATCTGTTAAATGGGGATGAGATCCATCTGTTGGGATTGTTGTGAGGATTAAGTAAAATATGTAAAGTGCGTAATCCTTGTAGGCTCCAAAAGGCATTAGCTCCTTCCCACAGTGTTCTTTAGAGGAAGCCAGGTAATTTGGGTATTCAAAAGCACGCAACATAAGGATCTTAGCAAAATGTTTCCCATCTCTGGAGCATCCATTTGTCATCTGAGACAGGTGTGTGTAAATACACAGCTCCAAATTGGTCCTTCACAAGATGTGATTCTATGTCAGCCTCACTACAGTCAGATGCAGCCTTCCAGTCGCTATATCCACCCTCTTAGGAGCTTTTTAAGATTTTACCTTTAAAAAAACAAAACAAAACAAAACATTTTATTTATTTGTTTATTTATTTTGAGAGAGAAGAGAGCATGCGTGCAGAGGAAGGGCAGAGAGAGCATTCGGAGCAGGCTCCAGGCTCAGCGTGTGGAGCTTGACCCGGGTTCCATCTCAGTACCGTGAGAACACAACCTTGAGCAGTAAACAAGAGGTGGAGGCTTAACTGACTGAGCCACCCAGGCGCCCCTATTTTACCTTTGTAAGCAGGCCCCATACCCAAAATGCGGATTGAACTCAAGACCCTGACTGAGCCAGCTAGGAGCTCCCTGGAGCTTTTTAAATACGTGCATAGTCTCCCAGAAAGATAAGTGGTACCAAAGGCACTTTCCTGGCCCCAGGCCCGTGACTCTTGGGGTGTCCTTGGAACCCAGTGCCTGCTTTTAGGGGGAGGATGTCTTACCCTCTCTACCCCGGGCACTTTCTAGAGGGTGCCTCAGTCTAGCCATGTTGTCTGGAAACTTCCACTGCCCCAGCCTGTTTCTGTTCCCCCCACTCTTTGCACCTCAAGTCCCTGAGACACTACTATATATGGCCTAGTGTTTTCTCTCCTGTGATTCCTCCAGCCCTTCAGCCTGGGTCCTCCCCATTCCAGGCCCAACTCAGATCTTCTGTTCCTTATCCAGTTCATTCTTCAGCATCGCCTCCCTCACAGCACTCCTTAGCTCAAGGCAAAAGAGCTGCTGGCCCTCTCTCCCCTGTCCTGGCCCTCAGCTCCCTGGAGCTATATATAGCACAGCGGTGCCTTAGATTGTATAGAGCTTCAAGTCCTGGCCACCCCTCCTCCCAACAGAATGGGGAGAATGAGCCCAAAGCTTCCTGTTAGGGTGGGGAAGCCAGAGAAAGGAGGTTGGAGAGGGACAGGGGTGTGCTGAATTTGGACCACCCAGAACGTGGTAACCTTTCTATCTGTTGTCAGAGACTTTCCACTTCTCCCCCAGCCTCTACCCGTTTCCTGACACTTGCTCATTTGGGAGGAAGAGGAGCAGGCAGCATGGAGGGAAATTCTAACCATTTGGGGAGATGCTACCTCCGTTTTACAGATGACGACACAGACTCAAAAGAGGTTGAGTGATAGAAGACCAAATATTCAGAGAGTGGCCAAGCAGCTAACTGACCCCACGTCTGACTCTGACTCTGGCCTACACTCCGGATTCGTTAAGTCTGTCCACATCACTCAATTGAGACCCCTCGAAATTAGAATGTCTCGGGGTGTGATGTGACCTGGAAGAAAAAAAAAAGGCCTATGACATAAATGACTATGGAGAAATGCTTAAATAGCAATAATTATTGAAGACTTGGCCTATTAACAAAAATATTATAATTTATCTTATCTGTTTACTGAAGCAGGACTCTACAGAAATCTGTTCCTTGAAGTTTTGGTTACTGTGTGCTCTCAGGAGTAAAAAGCAATTTTATTTCTTCTATTTCAAGACTTTCCCTCTGCTTAATAGTCCTCCCATTCGTCCAGAACAGTGAGATTTGATTTTAGGAACAATTAGAAGTCTGGTTCTTTTTTCTGTCACTTATTGTGACCTGGAGTGGGACATTTAACCCAAGCCTCAGTTTTTCATCTGTGAAAGGGGAATAACAGTACCTACCTTACAGAGTTGTGAGGATGCAATAAAATAACCTCCTTAAAGCAATTAGCACACTTCCTGCCCCATAGGTGCTCAGAGAACCATGGCAACTATGTCTATTATTATTTTCTCAATTCTGGGCTGAGATGCTGTAGGAGCATCAACAGAATCCCAACAAGAAGGGAGAACTTCTCAATTAAATTGAACTTTGCCCTCTACAGCTTGGCCCCTGTTCTACAAAGGGCTTGGAGTTGATTCTGATTCTTGCTCTGTGTCATCCAGGCATTTCCATCCCCCTACCTCTGGCCTAGACCATCCATCTCTTGAGAATTCAGGTCACTCTTGGGACCAGGAGAGGCAGCCTGGGAGAGTGTGTGTGAATGACTGGGAGGAGAGTTCCCATGGACGCTGGGGATATGTGAAGGCTCTGGGGAGCTGCTGTGACCCTGGGTCTCTTCCTAGAGCAGTGAGTGCTGGAGAGAGAAAAGAAAGACATCAGCTGCTGGACGGATTTTCTGTGCTGTAAAGCCCCTTTAGGACAGGCACATGGGGCTGAGTATCTAGGGTAAGAACAAAGCACTGGGATAGAGTGGGATTCTCCGTAGCGTACGTCAATCTTTTCACTCCTGCTTAGCAAGAAGGTACTTTCCTCTTCTCCGAATCCAGGATGCTGAGATTGATTAGCACTCCTAAGCTTCAGCCTCAATGGAGAGGGTTTCTGCTTAGCCAGCCCCTGGGAAGTAGGCTAGGAGTACAAACTCTGGAACCAGTCAGACCTACATTCAGATGCTGACACTGCCATTTACTAGCTGTGCACCTTGGAGATCATTTAGCCTCTCCGAAGCTCAGTTCCTTCCCTACTGTATAGAACATTTGAAAGGTCTGAAAAGTAAATACCTCAAACAGAATAGGTGGTAAGCCTGGCCACTGTCACCTCTGTCCCTAGTGAACATCATCCCCCCTCTCCCCATGCCCCCGTCCCCCATCTGTAGTACAAGGATCCCTGGAGATGCGAGGTAGTCCTAACGGTTACAAATTGGATGAATCTCCCTGGTCCAGAAAGCATCCTTGAAAAGGATCAAGACCAAGACCAGAGGGCCTGCCTCCCACAATTGGGGCATTTTATTTACAGCCCACTTTGTTCATGAGTGTTTGAAGCAGTATAGCTTGGGGGAGAAGCCATGATCTCTGCCCTTCCTTGCCTCGGTATTCCGATCTCAGTTCTCTGTATCAAGTTCCTGTTTGATCCAACCCCTTACAACCATGGGAATTACTGGACTGAATCTAGTTAAGGGCTCCTGCCATGTGATCTTTCATTACTTTCTAGTGCATGGAGCTCTGGCCTGGAACTCAGCAAATGGGGGGTTAAGACTGATGCCCTGGCCTATCTCCTCCCCTCTCCATTCCAGACTTCAAAGTCCACAGAAAGCTTGCTTCCCTGACCCCACAGTGGCAGCTCCATCATCAGCTCCTGATCGGTTCAAAACAGCAGATGCTGAGCCCTGGCCGGGCTGCTTGCACTCTACTTTCTAGCCATCTCCTAGGGTAAGCACCAGCATGTTAAGAAAGTGTGGGGCCAACAGTCCTTGCTCCTCCAGGAGAGAGGCACCTGGAGGTCGCCTCACGCAGGGCGTCTGTCTCACGGGTTAGACCTAGAAGGCACCCCACAGGCAGAAGCCCTCGTCTAAGGACCAGGACTCTGGGACTCTGTCTAGTTTGTGATCAGAGCAGATGTTTACTGGGGGGTTAGCAAGTAGAGCAATAGGGGTCACCGGCCCAGGGAGGGAGGCAGGGGGTTGGCTATCGCAAATAACCTGGCAAGAAATGGAAACGGGAGCAGTTCAGGGACCAGAATTAGTTCTGTTAGTATTAATGTCCAAAATCTATGCTAAATTATTCACAAATCAATGTCCAATTATTTTAATTTTTGGCTCTGGTGACTTGGTAACCAGTGCTGGAACACTGTCTGGGATGGCCTGCTTCCCTGGGGCCAGACCTGCTCTGTGGGATCTGCAGCTCCCAGAGGAGCAACCCTCACAGACTCCAGGCCAGTGGGGGTCCCAAGGCTCAAGGCCTGTTCCTCTCGCCCTCATCTGTGGATTTTTCCAGCTGCTTTTCTTGACCCAAGGATCACATAGGGATACAGATGGAAGGAGGGGGAAGCAGGGAAAACAGTCAGAATGAGCTGGGGAAGAGGCAGACGTGAGGAAGAAGGGATGGCAGTAGTGGTCCAGCCATATGAGACAGGACACTTGGGACATCTTCTCAAGTAGGGGCTGTGTTGGGCATGGTAAGAGAGGTTCTTAGCAGGCAACTCCCCCCCTTTTCCCCCAAGTTGAGGAGAATTGGGAGTTCCTGTTATGGGGTGCCTCCTTGTAGGACTGGGCTGAAACCTCAGAGCCCCAGCTGCTAACATCTGGAGCCAGGATCATGTCTGCTAACAAAGGCTGGTGGGTACCACCTGAAGGCGAAGACAGTGTGTCTGAGAAGTTCCTGAGGAAGACCAGGGAGTCTCCGCTGGTGCCTGTAGGTGAGTGGTAAAGTAGGGAATGAGGGGCCTTCTCTCACGGAAAAGGTCTCCTAGCCCTTTCAAAGGAAGCAGAGGACTCAAGTGTCCTGCCCACGGAACAGCCAACATCTAGAAGAGTGAACCAGCAGCAAAGGTGCCAAGGGAAGGGACACGCCTGACAAGGAGTCTGGATGGGTGGAGGTGGTGGCCAACTGACGGCCTGGGGTGCAGGGAAATGGGGGGCATCAATACCAGCATCAGGATGGGAAAGAGCGGTCTGGCGTCTCCCAGGGCTTCCTTTCTCCAGGCCCTGGGAGAAAAGAAAAGTAGCTGTGGGAGCCAACATGGCTGGAGGAGGGTCCGGAGCAGAGCAAATGGGGGGTGGGGGAGGCCCGTGATGGGCTATTTGTATGTAGAGGGCTCACTGGAGATGTAGACAGCCACTTTGAAAATGCCATTGGGAGTAAACAACTCATGGTCTCCCACCATGAAGCGGCACGGAAATAGGGGTTTATCCAGATGCCCAGCCTGCCCGGCCTGCAAAGGGTCTCATCAGGGGAGCCATATGATCGGTGACTGAGGCCCAAAGGTCATGTTCTCTGCCTACAGGCTTGGGAGGCTGCCTGGCAGTGGCAGCATACCGGATTTATCGGCTGAAGGCTCGTGGTTCCACCAAGATGTCCATACACCTGATTCACACCCGAGTGGCAGCGCAGGCCTGTGCCGTGGGTGCGGTCATGCTAGGTGAGGGGCTGGTGGGGGTCACAGAACGAAAACGCAGCTTGTTAGACAAAATCTGGCTGTGAGTCCTGATGGTTAAAGGACCATGATTTCAGTCCCACCAGGCTCCACAGCAAGTGGAGGTTTGGGTGAAACCCTCAAACCAAGCCATTTTCAGGGGTCCCTGCTTGGCCTCCTGTCCCAGGCCCGTGGGGATGGCGCACAGTTGGTTTTATGGCAGTCTGTCCTGAGAGGTGAGAAAAGTCACACAGCACAACACATGCTGAATTTCCCTTCCTCTGTGGGTCAAGGGGCAGACAGCTACTTACTAGCTGTGTGACCGTAGACAAGTCCCTTTCTCTGAGCCTCAGTTTCCCCATGTGCAACATGATGGTAAGCACCCTGGCTTGCCGACCTCACAGGTTGCTGTGGGGTTTCTCAGAGAGGTAATCTACACGGAAGGGCTCTGCAGGTACTTGTAGCAGCTACTGAGAGCTAGAGCAGAAAGGGAAGCTGAGCAGGGAAGCTGGACCCTCAGGGGAACGGCTGCAGTCAGGCTCCTGGGAGAGCCAGAGGATGGCTGCAGGGTTGGGTGTTACGGGCTGTTTTCCCTTCTCCTTCCTGCAGGTGCTGTGTACACGATGTACAGAGACTACATCAAAAGAACAGCACCGGGTGCCGGGGAGAAGTAGGATTCCTGTAGGGCCCGGGGCAGCCAGAGCCTCGTCCATCAATCCCTGGTACGTTCCTAATAAAGCATTTTGAGGAAAATCAAGTCTCTCCTTCACACGGGGCAGAGCAGAGTTAGGGACCAGTAGTGGCTGGGGTGTGTGTGTGTGTGTGTGTGTGTGTGTGT